GAAGAGAGAGAGAGAGAGAAAGAGCGACGAAGAAAGGGGCAGGTGTATTTGCCGCGGTTCTCGACGCGGATATGCTACGGATTATCCTTTTTAGGCGTCCTTTAATTCTATTTGCGACCGTGTAACCAGCAAAACCTTTTGTCAACGAGTATTACTTTGAGCCCTTTTGAAGTCAAATTACGATCGAGTAATGCAATAGTTTTGTCCCCGATTGTACGTACCTCGTTGTCGTCAACGAGAAATTATAAGAAAGAAATTGATGGAAACCGCTCGACTATGCGACGTGTACTTTGCAAACGTTTGCTCTTAGATACGTTTATTTTTTTGACAAAAGTTAAATATAATGACGCCGAATAAATTTCAATCAATTAGTTACTAAATGGAATCGATGAAATTAAAATGTTGTAAAATATTAAAAATGGAATGGAATTTTGTGAGATTATCTTATCTTTTATTTAACGCAAACAGTTTTATAAATAGATGGAGGAGGATAATACGTATCGTTAAATAATCACTTTGTTTAATTATTCATTTTAATTAATTTCTCGTAACGCTTTTGCTTTGAAATGGATTTATTTCAACGCTCGAAGATTACTATCCAATATTTGCAAAATCTGAAAATATGCTATAAAACGTCATGTATAGTATTTATTGTGAAATATAATGTATGTAGTTTCCATCACGATCGGGCGATATATACAGTTTTGTCCAATTTCTCGTTTCAATTCGCTCGCATTCATTCAAAAGAAACACTTTTAATATTAGCTCTTTCATTGACCCGTGGCCATTTCATATTATAACTTGTTTGCGTATCACTGCAGAATATTCCAATGGTCAATAACATCGGTACGAATTTCAGTAGTAACGAGGAATCGATCGTATGCCACGGTTAATATTTTGCAAGGTGAATTTTTACGTTACGTTTGTAGCATAAAATTTTCCTCTTTTCTTTTTTTTCTTTTTTTCTTTTTTTTCTTTTTTTTTTTAGGTAGTTGCACGACTTTTTTTCTCGTTTTTGTCGTCGATATACAAAATGTCATGCCGAGAGATATAAATTCCGATATGACTGTTTTAGTGTGAGAATATTTCAAGCGGCGTATATATTACGATTTATGCTCCTGTAGTGTGTAGAAATCGATAGCGCCTTGGCGATGATTACTAGACGATACCGCGGTGACATATTTTTCAGATAGAAAGAACGCGCGAGTGGTGCGGCTAGTGGTAACATTTGGCGCGTTTTTATGCGTTCAAGCGGAGATTAATTAAATGTTTCAGACAGATTACAACCATCTACCGGCGGCGGCCCTCGGTCTGATGACATTACAAGTTTACGGCCTGAAAAACTCCTGTGCACGCTTTTCATAATCTTCATCTCGGCCGCTGGCCGCCGCTGTTTCATCCCTCGTAACTTTATGCGTTGTGCAACGCGGCGTGTACGCAGCGTGACAATATTATAACGCGGTAATTATAAAGCTATCGTCAAACCTACCCTTGTCGCCTGCACGCCCGGAAACGTCTCGCGAAATATTTTCATCATCGAACACGCGAAACGCGCCAATACGATCGCGGCGTCCCATTTGTTTGTCGGCAAATGTAATTTCAGCAAACACAATTGAACTCCCTTGTTGCAGCCATTAATACAGTTAATAGAAAAGCAAACAGTGTAACGTTGGTACCATTATTAATATTCTGCAAGTGTTGATATTCGGGGATACACATATATGTTTATATTTTTGGATATTTTATCTGCGCGTATTATACCTGTAAACTTACAAAATTATGATACGCATACTCCGCAAATACGATCGCGAATACCGTCGATCGGTTTTTCGATTTTTACGCCGCAATAATAATTCTAATTAAAAAATTTTTGTCGTTTTAGTCCTGCTATTTCTGCTATCGTTCGCGGAAGAAATATTTACATTTCGTGTTACATTTCTTTTCGACGCCGCTAACACAATTTTGATTTTAACCAGTCCTTTATGATAATTATAATGATGCGGCGCACACTTTTATATATGCACTTTAATTTTTGAGTATGCGAAACGATATGCGTGTCTCGTCAAAGAATATTATTTCTGGCAAAATAACGTCTCGCTAAAGAATATAATTTTCGTCTCTCATTAGTTAGCGCGAATTTAGGATGATAAAGTCGCCATTTCCGACTCGGACAGACGAACAGACGGACTTGTTGATGAAGGGGAGAAAGCTGAAATTACGTGTAGCGCATTCTGCATAAATTTCCATTAAGAAACGCGAGTGTGTAAACTAGAATTTTTGAATAAAGTTCCAGAATGTTCGACCTTTGATTCTTTTTTAAATTTGGCAATATCGTACCAAAAGGAATTCTAATTGAGCTGCTTGTGTCCAAGAATTTTTAATGCAAAGATCTGTAATTGAGGCAATGTTTAAAAAACTTGATTTTCGTTTTTATTTAGCTACGCATTTATTTCCACTCGAATTATTTAATTTTTTGAGTTGACTAATTAGAAATGCGAAAGCGCAACTATGCAAACGTTCACTTTTACACTGTGCGGAATGTAACTTTTTAATATGCGAAATATGCTTTATAGGAACGAATTCAACATTAGAAAGCAACAGTTTGCATAAACAGTTGATCTATTTCGCTGCTTTTTCAAATTATAACAATACAATTTATTACATATATATATATATATATATATGTTTACATGCATTCCTTACAAAGAGACAACGTTAGAAAATTAATAATGAAAGTTAAAGCTCTGCTTGAAAATATAGAGAATATAGAGAATGGACTATACGAGCTAAAGCTCAGCGACGTGTATATATTACATCGTATTGTTTAACATATATATTAATATTTACATTGTGTTGTTCTAACAACAAGGAACAACAACAAGACAACGTTTATCACGATGCATTCTGAAGCGCGACAAAATGGCGCGATCTATTCGCAATAAACAGGTCACAATAAACTATTCACACGCAAATACACCCAGTATAGTAGCAATCCGTCACGCGTGATGCTAATTTTATTTATTACCTTCACTGTCGCCGAAGATGTCCCCCTCAGATAGGGGATGGAGGACGAAGTGAGGTCACGGAAAGAATCGTTTTAATTTATTCGAACGTGTCCGACGTTCGTGTAGGTGGGTATAGGTATCGCATTTGGAGA